TCGAGTTGGGCACCTTTGATGCTTCGAGTTGGGCACCTCTCATGCCTCGAGTTGGGCACCTTTGATGCTTCGAGTTGGGCACCTCTCATGCCTCGAGTTGGGCACCTTCATGCTGGAGTGGGTATGAGTGGGCAACTCTCATGCTTCCGGAGTTGGCACTTTGATTGCACTTAGAGTTGGGCACCTTTGATGCTTTGAGTTGTGCACCTCTCATGGCTCGAGTTGGGCACCTTTGATGTTCGAGTTGGGCACCTTTGATGCTTCGAGCTGGGCACCTCTCGTGCCTCGAGTTGGGCACCTTTGATGCTTCGAGTTGGGCACCTTTGATGCTTCGAGTTGGGCACCTTTGATGCTTCGAGTTGCTCGAGCTGGGCACCTCTCATGCTTCGAGTTGGGTATGAGTTGGGCACCTCTCATGCTTCGAGTTGGGCACCTTTGATGCTCCGAGTTGGGCACCTCCCACACCGTGAGTTGGGCACCTTTGATGCTTGGAGTTGTGCTGCGGTGACTCTGCCTAGCCAGCCAGAGCCGGCATTCGAAGCCGGCAGTCCAAAGGCAGCCACGGGGGCAAGCGCCAGTGCAGGTGCCCCCCGGCACGCAGTGGTTGCAGCAGACCCGGAGCCGCCGAAAAAGAAAAAGCAAAAGAAGGAAGAAAAATCCGCCACGGAAGCCAAGAAGAAACAACCAGGAAGGCTGCCGCTTCCCCCTGACGCACGAGAGAAGATGGCAGCTCTGAAGCACTATAAGTGCCGTTTCAACGGCTGCCCGCAGTGTCGGAGCCGCATCGGTTTGGTTTTGAACGAGGACGAAACTGCATGGGTGTACAGTACGTGAGAAGCCAGCTGGACTGGAGGACTTGTCGGCAAGCAGATTTAAATAATAGGGGGGTCCGGGACAGCACGGGGCACTTAAACTGGCTGGGGGGTTTTAACAATAGAAAATTAGTTTTTCATATGCTTAAACTCGTAGCCGTTTTAGCTCAAATTGGAAGTTATAAGCATGACCGAGTCAAGCGCTGTCATGTCTGTGTCGTCACACACAGACACAAACGGTAGCGACTCTGAGTCTGACGTGGAGATCATCGAGGAGACGAAGGACTTCATGGAGGTGTATTCCCCTCCACGGGTGTTCTTTGCAGCGACAAGGCTGAACCTGAAAACGCATATGTCTTTGTCATTTGATTTGGAGAAAGGATTTGACTTCCAAACCCTGGGGGCCAGGGCGGAATGTCTTCGAGCCGTCGAGACATGGGCACCTCTCATGCTATGAGTTGGGCACCTCTCAGCTTCGAGTTGGGCACCTTTAAAAATGCCTCGAGCTGGGCACTTTTGAAGCCTTCAGCTAGGCACCTGTCATGTTTTGAGGTGGGCACCTCTCATGCCTCGAGTTGGGCACCTTTCATGCTTTGAGTTAAGCACCTGTCATGCATTGAGTTGGGCACCTCTCATGCCTCGAGTTGGGCGCGTCTCATGCCTCGAGTTGGGCGCCTCTCATGCCTCGAGTTGGGGACCTTTGATGCTTCGAGTTGGGCACCTCTCATGCTTCGACTTGGGCACCTTTGAAGCCTCGAGCTGGGCACCCACCTTTGATGCCTCGAGTTAGGCACCTCTCATGCCTCGAGTTGGTCACCTGTCATGTTTTGAGTTGGGCGCGTTTGATGCCTCGAGTTGGGCACCTCTCATGCCTGGAGTTGGGCATCTAGCATGCCTCGAGTTGGGTTTCTTTGATGCCTCGAGTTGGACGCCTCTGATGCCTGGAGTTGGTTTCGTGCCCGCAGTTGGGCACCTCATGCATCAATCTATACTTCTATACTTCTTTTTAGCCTTGAGTTGGGCACCTCTGATGCCTCTGGAGTTGCTTTCCTTTCCAGTTGGGCACCTGTCCTGCCTCCAGTTGGGCATCGTTGATTCCTGGAGTTGGGCATCTCTCATGCCTCGAGTTGGGCGCCTCTCATGCCCCGAGTTGGGGACCTTTGATGCTTCGAGTTGGGCACCTCTCATGCTTCGACTTGGGCACCTTTGAAGCCTCGAGCTGGGCACCCACCTTTGATGCCTCGAGCTGGGCACCCACCTTTGATGCCTCGAGTTGGGCACCTCTCATGCCTCGAGTTGGGCGCCTCTCATGCCCCGAGTTGGGGACGTTTGATGCTTCGAGTTGGGCACCTCTCATGCTTCGACTTGGGCACCTTTGAAGCCTCGAGCTGAGCACCCACCTTTGATGCCTCGAGTTGGGCACCTCTCATGCCTCGAGTTGGTCACCTGTCATATTTTGAGTTGGGCGCGTTTGATGCCTCGAGTTGGGCACCTCTCATGCCTGGAGTTGGGCATCTAGCATGCCTCGAGTTGGGTTTCCTTGATGCCTCGAGTTGGACACCTCTGATGCCTGGAGTTGGTTTCCTGCCCGCAGTTGGGCACCTGATGCATCAATCTATACTTCTTTTTAGCCTTGAGTTGGGCACCTCTGATGCCTCTGGAGTTGCTTTCCTCTCCAGTCTAGTCCACCGTATGCGGTTCAGGGTTTTTTCCAGCAGCTAACTCCAAGTAGATTTTGTTCTTGCGGCTTGCTGCAAGACATGTTCAACGCACAAACGTGGTTCTGACCACAATCGAGGTAAAATGATTGTTGCAACCAACACCATCAATACATCATCTTGTTTGAAGCAGGATGCCAACACCACACATTTGTTCTCAGGATCTCAATCTGGGCTCTTTCGGAAAGCCGCAGCTTAGTGTGCGCTGGGCGCTTCGGCCCACCCGATGGCAAAGAGGCGTTTCTCCTATGGAACGGAACCCACTATGAGCTTGCACAGCGAACAAGCTGAAAAAAAACGTGTGTGCCGAGATGTGCTATCGGCGAGCAGGGGGGATGATTCAAACGACTAAATACCGCAATTATTGTAAGATGGGATACAATGTGTCATCTGCCAAGAGAAAGATTTCCCCCCCCGGCTAGTCCGCACGATCACCACAGATTGCCTAGAACAAAATATATGCATGCTTTGTGATGCTCCGAAATCCACGAACATCTCCAAATAACTGCGTGATACATGTTCCAAGCCGTTCCAGAGTTTTTCCCGGGTTTTCCAGGCGTTTCCCGGAGTTTGCCGATTTTTCAAGAATTTTCCCGGAAACGACGCAGCCACGTTTAGTGCCCACCACATTAGTTTCTCTCTGGGAAACATGGGGAGTTTTAGCTTGAGTTGTTGGAAGTGAGGAAAAATCTCGGAACAGGCGGACTTAAAACAATGAAACTGAATTGTCTGATTGTACAAAATACATTACAAATGGGCTTGAATTGGACCGAAAAAGGGCGGGTTCAAGTCGTTCAACTCCTTCAACTAAGGTAAAACGCAAGGAATAAGGTCAGACTCTCTCAATATTCAGTGATTGGTGGATCAGAATTCATTGAATTATGATTTGAGAGATGCAAACGGTGAGGTCTCCAGAATCAGATTGTGGATGGAAGAAATCCCACACCAGTTGATAGGTCTATCCCGTTATAGGCTTTCAACATCTTTCAACCATCCAAAGGTGAAGATTTCTACCATGACATCTTACCGGTGACCCGGTGAGCAGCTCCAGGTGGCAGCCATCTCTGTCCCCATCAACCTGCGCTACAGCGCACCAGAGGTGGCCTACATGGTCGGTAAGGTCCAGGCGAAGATGCTGTTCCTGCACAGCAGTGACTCGAAATATGAGACATGGGGAACTGATGGGAACTGTCATATACTGTAATAGTATGTATTAATATGTATATAGTGATCCTGGAGTAGAATATGGGATTTTCAAAAACAATTTACACATATGGGATTCTTACCTACTTCAGGACGAGTAGATAAATAGATAGATGGATGGATGGATGGATAGATAGATATATATATATGCATATAGATCTACAGATCTACAGCCGTCGGGATGGCGATGGAGAGAGAGAGAGAGAGAGCGAGAGAGAGATCTACAGCCTATAGCCTGCGTCTGGAAAGTCGCGCTTTTTTGAAGTCACACAGGATTTAGTGACAGTGAATCGGTCAGAAATGTTCAAGCCATGAATAATCATAAATATCTACAGAAAACCCACGACCATCTTGCACAGCTAAAACATGGAGCTCTTGTCCCTTTATAGTGGGTTGTTTTAATCTGTGTTTCCAATTGTCCAATCTTTCCACTAAAGCTCCAATTTCCATTGAACCTTCATCCCCCACAGTTTATCATTTTTCCCATCGTCTCCTTAAGGCAAGCTACAGCAGCTCCCCGGTGCCTCCCAGCTGGCACCGGAGGTGGTCGCCACCCCGGGCCCTGCCTGGGACGCCTTCCGCAGCCGCGCAGATCCGGCGCTGCCGGCGCTGCGGCCGGCGCCAGCGGAGCAGCCAGCGCTGATTCTCTTCACGTCGGGGTCCACGGGACGTCCCAAGGGGGTGCTGCATTCCCATGGAGGCGCGGATGGCAGTTGGGCTTGGGACGGTCTGGGTTTGACACCGGTTGTATGCTAAAAATGAATTGGAACGATGCTCTCAACAGG